TCTGTGTCGTCTATTGTCTAAATTCTCTTGACATCAGTGTAAATGAGGTTATGCCCTCAATGATTCCTCGAGAGTTAAATAAATGTTGAGTAAATGAAAAAAAAAAAAAAAATGCAAACGTTGCACCTACTGTACCTCCAGAGCCTTCATGTACACCCCGACATCTAGTTTCAAACCATCTGTCTCCTTGTAGTACCTCCTGTGACGACAGCAAAACATCACAAATATTACGTTTTACATTTTATATTTCATGTTCTGCTCACTACATAGAATTATCATCACAGCACTGATTACTGACGTGTAATATCCTCTTACCCTTGGCCCAGAGAAAACAGCACTGGCTTCTCCAGGCCCACAAGGACCCTGAATGCCTCGTTCAGGTTCCGGTAGGAAAAATATTCAGCTGAGTCTCCGATCACCACACAGTTTGGGTTGCTCTTGTCGACGCTGTCAAACTCAGGGAGGAGTGCTGTGGAAAAGTTAACACACAGTTTAATATTAAGTTAGGTCGGGTCATTTAAAAAGGATAAGTTTAGTGATACTTTAATCTTTCATACCATCAACAAATCCTGTGAGAGGACATACAACAACAAGTGAAGTCTGTGTGGGGTTTAATTTTTTTTTGTGTGGGGTTTAATTTTTTTAATGAAGCTACATATTTGTAGGAACCAAAGGGCTCTGGGTTGGGGCCATAGACAAGTCAGGAAAAGTATTTAGAGATGAACTAGGACACTGTTTGTTTGGTCTTTTCATGGTGTTTGTGGACAGTAACAAAATACTTATCCTTTAACATCCCTACTGCGAAATTTATGTTGATGTTAACAAATTTGTTTTTAATGTACAGTTGTGCTGGGTGTGTGTTTTACATGCTACATTTAAGCATGTCTAAATCAGGTAGGTAACCTTCTGCTCCGGAGCCACATGCGGCTCTTTAACCACTCTTGAATAGCTCCCTGTGGCTTTGACAAGAAAATCATATGGAAATGAAAAACAGTTATTGTTTAACATTTTAATTTTCATTTATTGTTAATGCAGGCCTAAGGTGACTCTTACATTCTCCAATTGCGTCAATGTGCATTGACTTGTACGTCTACGGGTTGGTGCCTTAACTGGTTGCCTCTTAATTTTGCAGCATCTCAATACTAGCAGCCTATGTTGAGTTTGCATTGAGCCACCTTGTATTGAAACCTATTGAAGAATGCTCATTTAGACCTATTAGTAATGTTGACAGGCGGATTTAGACTTAATGGGCTGTGCTACCTTCGTCATGAGGCTCAAATATGTTATTATATGGTATAAATGATAAAAAAAAAAATCTCTGGTTTAAGACAAAAGTGTCATGCAAATTAATATTTTCATATCCACTATGTATCTGCTCAAACACTGAGAATAACCAGGGTTTACTGTATGGTTGTGTGTATATACATAGCTTGTGTATATGTGCATAGTTTGTGTATACAGACATAGTTTGACAAAGCAAAACACATCTGTTGTGACTGAAATTCTAGAAATTCTTCTTATTTTTGAAGTATCCAAGTATTTTTCTAATTATTTTATATCTTGCTGTAAGACAAATATTAGTAATTCATTTAACATATTAGAACAGGTCTAGGAGAATATTTTATTGTACAGCTTTATGAGTAAATTTTTTTTTTGCTACTTACATGTTTGAAATAAACTGCTACTAAGTATGTATTATTGTGCATATGTATTTTATCGTACTTTCTAAAAAGTGTGTTGCAGTATTTTGCCTTATTTTTATTCCACCTAATATGTTTATTATACACTCACCAGCCACTTTATTAGGTACACCTGTTCTATTGAGCATTAACGCAAACAGCTAATCAGCCAATCACGTGGCAGCATCTAAATGCATTTAGGCATGTAGAAATGGTGAAGACGACCTGCTGATGTTCAAACTGAGCATCAGAATGAGGAAGAAAGGTGATTTAAGTGACTTTGATCGTGGCATGGTTGTTGGTACCAGACAGGCTGGTCTGAGTATTTACTGGGATTTTCACACACAACCATCTCTAGGGTTTACAGAGGATGATCTGAAAAAGAGAAAATATCCAGTGAGCAGCTGTTCTCTGGGTGAAAATGCCTTGTTGATGCCAGAGGTCAGAGGAGCATGGCCAGACTGGTTCAAGATGATAGAAAGGCAACAGCAACTCAAATAACCACTGGTTACAACCAAGGTCTGCAGAAGACCATCTCTGAAGCAACAACACGTCCAACCTTGAAGCAGATGGGCTACAGCAGCAGAAGACCACACCAGGTGCCACTACTGTCAGCTAACAACAGGAAACTGAGGCTACAGTTCACACAGGCTCACCAAAACTGGACAATAGAAGATTGGAAAAACGTTGCCTGGTCTGATGAGTCTGGATTTCTGCTGCCACATTCAGATGGTAGGGTCAGAATTTGGTGTAAACAACATGAAAGCATGGATCCATCCTGCCTTGTATCAACGGTTCAGGCTGCTGGTGGTGGTGTAATGGTGTGGGGGATATTTTCTTGGCACACTTTGGGCCCCTTAGTACCAACTGAGCATGGTTTAAACACCACAGCCTACCTGAGTATTGTTGCTGACCGTGTCCCTTTATGACCACAGTGTACCCATCTTCTGATGGCTACTTCCAGAAGGATAACGCAGCATGTCACAAAGCTCAAATCATCTCAAACTGGTTTCAAACTGTACTCCAGTGGCCTCCACAGTCACCAGATCTCAGTCCAATAGAGCACCTTTGGGATGTGGTGGAGCGGGAGATTCGCATCATGGATGTGCAGCCGACAAATCTGCAGCAACTGTGTGATGTCATCATGTCAACATGGACCAAAATCTCTGGGGAATGTCTCCAGTACCTTGTTGAATCTATGCCACAGAGGCAAAACGGGTCCAACCCAGTGCTAGCAAGGTGTACCTAATAAAATGGCCGGTGAGTGTATGTTTAATATAAAAACCAAAGCATATTTCTTGTAACTGAAACCCTACATGCTAATAAATCTGACTCTGATTATGACATTTTAAAGCATTACCATCATACACCAGCAGGTGGGGCCGTAAGCCCCTCTCCTTCAGGACAGCTACGACTGCAGGAGCAGGGGAGAAGACCTCAGACACGGAGATGTCAAAGCCCAATCTCTGGAGCTTGGCTACAAACTTCTCCCTGGTGGCCTGGGTCTCATTAGTGCAGAAGCGCAGCTGCAGGTCGGATGCCTTGAGCCTTTAAAGGGGTCAAGAGGTCAGAGTGAGCATGGAGCAACACAGACACACTGACACGGAGACAGACTGTTGAAACATTCATCGTTGAGTCAATCACACATGCATACAAAACCTTTGGAGTCCTGCTGCTGTCGATAAGTCAGCAGCACAGACAGTGATCAGGAGTGTGCATGCACTCTGCTCTATAGGTTTGCTGAACATGCACGCGGCTAAAATCTCTTATCACGTCTAAACTCCTCATTTATTGACTCACTTTTTCACAGCTTCAATCGAACCAGGTATGGCAACCCCGTCGCCCTCCCCGCTGTCATACAACACGCCACACATGTCCAATATGACTCCTTTCAAACTCTTTGCACAGCCTGGCCAGCCTGTGTCAGCCATGACGACGCGGTAGCCTCAGAGCGCATGCGCGGAAAGCGAGACAGCCTGCTTAAAGTGCACTAATGGGAGCTTTACTCTGGAGGGACTTTTGCAGATTTATCATGGAATATATCTCTAAAGACTTTACTTTATTATGAGAAAATGTGGTGTTTTGTGTTCTCAAGTACCCAACATATTTATAATTAACTTGGTAATGATTCTGGCAAAGTATTTTATCCATAAATTTAAGTTTAGCAATAATGAACCTCATGTTGATGCTTTTCTGAAGGATGTTGAACACTATATGAAACTATATAAAACACTATAAAGACATCTAACATCTGTAGGTCTTATAATATCTATGTGTAGTATGTTATCCCCCTGGCTTTCTGTTATTGTTTGTTTGCATACTCTCAACTGTATATGAGTCCTTTTATACTGTGTTGTTTAAATATGGAATAATTAAAAAAAAAAGATTCTTGCTTATAGAAGGTAGGGACATGTCCACAGCAATATTACAACTTTATTTTACCACACACGTGGGAAATGTTTTGCACGTGCAGGAAGTTTTGATCACGAGTAGAAATCTTGCTGGGACACATTCGAGGTATTAAAGTCAGTGGGTTTATGAATTAATTCAAATGCAGTGATGTGAATAAGTGCCACGTGCACATTAAAAAAAAGAAAAAAAAAACAAAACAAAAAAACACTGCCAGCACGTGCGGACTCAGAGAGATGCAGAGATTGCATCACATGAGAAATGTTCATCTGCAGGATCTGTAGCAATACAGAATGCCTGAGGGCCTTTCTGTATTATATTATTCCATTATATTTTTTGTTATCATTATGTTTTATTTTACATAAGAAAAGACACTCCATCAGAATGTTTTTATTTCATTTTATATTTTTATTGTATTGATTTTATTTTATGGTATTATACTTCATTTTATATTCTATTTTATTTAATGTCATTTTATATTTTATTTTATTTTTTTTAATTTAATTTATTTATTTCACGTTATTTTATTCTATATTTTATTTTATGGTATGTTATTTCATTTTATAATCTAATTCATTTCATTTCAATTTAATTCTAATTTATTTATATTATTCCATTTCATTTTTTAATTTAATTTAATCTATTTTATTTCATGTTATTTTATTTTATATTCTATTTATTTTTATTTCATGTTATTTCATTTCATTTTATNTTGTTTTTTTTAAATTTTATTTTATGCTATTTTATTGCACTTTAAATTTCATTTTTTTATATTTAATTCTATTTCATTCAGTCATTTTATTTCATTTTATATAGTATTTTATTTTATTTTTTGGGATGATTTGGACGTCTCGACGTAATCATGGGAAATGTTGCAACATGTGGGCGTGTCCTCTGCTCACAGTCTACACCTCTGACGTCAGCACGCAATAAAGCACCGCGGCTCATCATATAAGCCGCATCAGAACCTCGCACCACAACCGTCTGACAGAGCAGGCGAGCATCACTCGCGATTCAAGAGGGTTTTTACTTCGCTTCACCTCTTTCTGGTACTGTGTGATTTTCCTCCATGTCTCCTCTGTCCTGCTGAATTCATATTTTAGTGATAGCTTAAGGTAACTGACAGCAGGACGGTGCTAATCTTAGCTAGCTAGCCGGTGGTAGTTGTTCTAACTAACGGAAACGAGCAACCTCTTTGAAGTGTTTACACGAGAAGAAACATTAATTTATTCATTTATATTAACTGTGCCATTTTACTGAAGAGTGTTAAAGATCTTTAAGTTATGTTTCATAAGACAGTATTATGTAATACAAAATAGTTTAATTAGAAAGCAACTGAAGCTCGTGGTCTTTATTTAGCTCTGTGCTGTGATGATGGTGGGTGTGCCTTGGAGGCAGCTCCCCAGCAAACCTATCATCTCAAGAGGTGTGATAGTGACTCAGTGACATGTCACTGGCACGGGTCCACTGTCCTTCATGGGGACCAGTCCAGGTGCTGCTTGTTTGCTGTGTGTGTTCATTCATTGCACAAGGTTATTGATTACCCAGAGCCAAATACTGGGTGTCTTATCTTTACATATATGTTCACATAGCAAGGCTTGTCTGCAGTTTTCACAACTGTCTTGTCATTTTAGAAATGCTTTCATGGAATTTTTTGTACACTAAGGGACTGCTGGTGACTTATGAGAGGGGAATGGGGTGATGCAACACAGGGGTGGAATGGCAAATAGTTTTTTGGAGCACTGGGGGCGGAGTTACAACTTTAAATGGTTGTATTTTGTGTTTCGTTTAAAGGCATGTTTTCTGTAAAAAATCACCAAAATTTCACCATGTATCACAGCCAGAAACTGTGGATTGAACACAAACTGTGAAAAAATAAACACACATTATCAATGGATTATCAAAAACACATGCGTGACAAATGCTTCTGTCAGGAGACATAACCAAATCTAGGTTTAAAATAGTAAAATATTGCCAACGTTAAACCATTTGCACAAAGTAGATCCTGACATTTAATCCTGCACTCTTGGGTGTGTGACAGTAGTGGAAAACCAAGGCGTTTTTCAGCTCCAGAATTTTGTTTTCAACTTTTAACTTTCACACATCAAAGGGTATGTTTATAAAAATCAAATAATGTCTGCCGTGCCAACATACTGATATTATTCTTGCCAGCTGCTGTTGTGTAAGCCTGCAGAATATTTGGGGAAAATGGAGGGGCATACAACTTTATATAGCTGTAGTTTGTATTTATTTTACCGCCGATTTTAAGAAAATAAAAAACTTTTTAACTCACCTATCAAGGGGCCTGGTAGATGAAAAAAAAATAGGGATGCACAATATTGGATTTTTTTTTTTTTTATTTTTACCAATATCTGATATGCCAATATACAACAAGTTATTTGTCTGATTCCTGATACCGATAATGATATATCCACTTTTTTCCCCAACTAATTGTAGTGATCATCAAGTCTCCTCTGTAGTGGAATTAACATCATATTATGCATGCATACTCTCATCGTGAAAGCCCACCAGCAGATGAAGACATGAAATACAACATGTCTTTTCAATAAATATAATATTCATTGTGCAAAATAAGAAAAAGCATGTTGATCGATTCTGATTAATTTTAAAGCCAATATCGTCTAATACTGATGACATGCCGATGTTTTTTGCATATTTTTTTATCCGTCAAAATAATGATTGGCCTTTTTCTGTCACATACATTTCGTTTCATTGAGATAATAAGGTATTATGTTGAACACAAACTTATAGAAGAGGTCAGAGCTAAATCTAAAGTAAAATGATTTCAGTATATTGAACAACTCATCACCACAGCCTCAGCATGTGAAGAAGGCCCCTCTGGAAAGCAGTGATGCGGTTTATATGTCTAAGGCTTTTATTGTGAAGGGTAAGAGCAGAAGAAGAGACGCTGATGAGCTAGAGAGTTTGGGTGCAACGCTAGCTTGCAGCAGACTGGCGCTAAGTGATAGTTTAGCACATCAGCTGATATCCAATACAGCAGGAGCAGCAGAGCAGTGTGCCCCTTAATGACACCAAAACGCAGCGGAGACTCCACATCGTTTTTAATTACATGACTATTCTGATGCAAACATTTACCCACCAGAGTGGCGGATAGCCTTCCTGAAATTTACTCGCCAAACAAAATCTACATGCAATTTGCTCTTGGTGGGTGTTAATTTTGGACCCTGTTTGGAAGGCATGTTTTCTTTTAAAATCGCCAAAATTACACCATTTATCACAGCCAGAAACTTCCAGTGGTTCTTGGACACATCACTTGCGACAAAGCTTCTGTCAGAAAAAAAACCAAACATAAAACCAAATTTGAGCTCAAAGTAGTGACATTTCTTTAAAATTAAAAGTCTGGTACAAACTTACCAGTATGCGTGACAAAAGCGTGTCTTTTTCAACTGCATCTTTAATTTTTAACTTTCAAATATCAAAGGTTAAGTTTTAAAAATCTAATAATTCCTTTATGGTGGAAAGAGAGTCCAGCATTTTCTGCCAGTCACTCATGGAAGCTCAAGGAAAATTATTTGTAGCTTCACAGAGGGTAAAAGCCAAAAAAAAAAAAAAAAGTCAAGACCCAGCCACCCCTCTACTTTGATGAGCAAAGAACAGTCCCTAAAATGCCTTAAGCTGCATTCATGTGCTCCTTGGATGGTCCTGTTTCCCAAGTTGGAAAGTCGTTCTTCTGACTTTGTGTGCCTGAGCTTGAAGTCGAAATGTGATAACAACATGGATGCTACAAAGACAATGTGTCGCAGTGATGTGTTGAAGATAGCAACAGTAGGTTTGGCTTCAGAATTGAACCTGCCACAAGAAAACATTGCCACAGCACCATAGCGCGAGTCATCTCAAAACCATCCAGTGCCACGACATTATGAAAGCCAACCCCTCAGTCACACACATTAAACATTTAGAAAGCAGCAGTGCGTTCTACAAAAGGTCAGCAGCAGGAGAAGTAGCAGGTTCCTTTCCTAGGTAACAGCAGTGAAGGGAAATTTAAAAGAAGTCTACTTTGTGATCCAATAGAAAAGTCTGGAACAGCACAGTCGAGCTGCCATGCTGCAGTGGGATTAGCCTAACTTTTGTGAACCCACCCCCCTCAAAAGCATGTTCGTCTATTGTGCTGAATGTGAAAGAGATGCGTTGCTCAGCAGACCTGCTAAGCCCATGTGCTCTGTGGAATCTCACCAAGCTGGGCTCAATTTTTGTAGCTTCAGTGTGTTTTTTTTTTTTTAAGGACATTTCTTTGTCTGTCAGGGTAAGAGCGAGACTTAAAAACAGGCTGCTTGCAGTAAAACCTGCAAAGTCCAACTTGTGTCGTTTTGGTGCTTTGAGCACCACAAGCCGAGTGCCATCTAGTTCCATTATTTTTGAGAGAAGGCAGACATCTCTACAGCTGATATCTCCAATATGGCAACTCACAGCAAAACAATCTACAGTGATAAATAGCATGACAGGTAAAAGGAAAAAATACATAGTTTTGGTGAAATGTCTGTTTAATTTGTGTAATTAATAATAAACAAATAATTATCCTAAATTCTGCACTGTGGTTTGCTCTGCCATGTTACAGACGTAGCAGCATACAACCATGAAGGGAATGATTCTCCAGCTCAGCCGCAACCTGAGTCGCGCTGCCCCCATTCTCAGTCGCAGTGTCCACTCTGGCACACGTCCCGCCTCCACTGCCGCCTCCAAACTGACATCTGACCGTCTGCTCTCCTCGGAGGAAATCTACGCCCGAGAGGACAAGTATGGAGCGCACAACTACCACCCCCTGCCAGTGGCCTTAGAGAGGGGAGAGGGTGAGTCCAGACCAGTGGCCATTAGCATTTCTCTGTTATTCAGATGCCATTTCAGCCTTCAGGCTTATTTAGAGATCAACAGTCATTGCCAGACACATACAATAAAGTATACAGACTTATATGAAGCCATGGGGCCCTATATAAATGATCTATAGAGCATGGAGCAAGTGCATTCAGGGCATGTCCAACTCCACTTTTGTTGTGGCGCATAATCTGGGCACAAAGTAAGGTTCAAGGAGGAGAAGGGGTTGTATTTAGTCCCTTATGTAATCATGGGTGTGTTTTGGGTGTAACATGAATTCAGTCAGTGTCATCAATCAATCAATCAATCAAACTTTATTTATATAGCGCCTTTCATACATCAAAAATGCAACCCCAAAGCGTCATCTCCCATTCCTTTTCAAAGCCTGGTCCGCCTGCACCTGGGGCATTGCTGTTTACTACATGGTGGATTCTGCAAATTGGAGAGGCGAGGAATGACACTGCAGCAAATATCATGGGACATCGAAGCAGCAAAACTGAAACTATAGTTATGAAGTTAAAGGAAGAAACAAAACATAACTTTTAGCCACTGAAATAATCAATGAAGTTACACTGCTACTGATGCGTAAATGCGCACAGCGGACAGCAGCTCTGCTCTGCCCTCTGCTACGTTCACATTTTAGAGTGTGATTAATATTTTCCTCAATAATGATGTATCATTTCATCCACCAGTAACCCCTCTGCATGTAACAATTAGAGTGCAGATGTGTTGTGTGTCTGTGTAGGTATGTATTTTACTATCTGCACTATTAACTTTAAACCAGGTTTTTGTTGGTCCATGGTGCTATCACTTTCTACTGCCTCAACAGTAATGTCATGCCTCAGCAAACACCTGGCAATGCCTCATTTTGAGACCTACAAGCTCATGGATGATGGGCTAAATGCATACTTACATAACCTGGGCGCTGGCCATAAAAATGACAACTGCATTGGCCTGAAACTAGCAACGCCCTGGGCTGTTTACTGCTTTGCACTGTGTGAAGGAAAGAGCCCAGACTGTTACACCTGTTTTCCTACTTCAAAATTACTTATGAATCACCACAGACACGTCCTAAGAACTTGGTTTTACTCTTCACTACAGGTATCTATGTTTGGGATGTGGAGGGCACCCGGTATTACGACTTCCTCAGTGCGTACAGTGCAGTAAACCAGGGTCACTGCCACCCAAAGATCATAGCCGCGCTCAGCGCCCAGGCCTCCAAACTCTGCCTGACTTCCAGAGCGTTCTACAACAATGTACTGGGAGCCTATGAGGAGTACATCACGTCCTTGTTCGGCTATGACAAAGTCTTACCCATGAATACAGGTACTGTAAGGAAACGCCCAACGCTGACTGCTAGAAACATCTTCAGAGGCTATTATGAGTTTAAATGTTGACATGTATTTCTTCTGTTGCAAATTAGGCGTCGAAGGTGGCGAGACAGCCTGCAAGCTTGCCCGCAAGTGGGCTTACAGTGTAAAGGGAGTCCCCAAAAACCAGGCCAAAATCATTTTTGCAGGTGAGTCAACATCTTACGTTGAAGAATACTACATCACAGTTATGGAGTTTGGCCCATGTGTCACCTTAGGCATTGTCGGAAAATTGGCATCAGAATTGTGTGTGCCGTTTTTCTGTCAGGGGGCTCAAGGTGTCAGAAAATATTTCTTCATTAGTACATTTCAATAACTGGTTTTGTTTGCACAGGAAATTACCAACATTAGTCACTGTATTTTGAAATATATAACCCAAAAAATCCTACTACCACTACTAGCTCTCATGCTCACCAAATCTTTCGACAGATATAGAATAAGGTGACTAGATTTCCTACACTATGCAAAGATGTGAACTCAGAACAATATGTTTGCCATCTCATTCACTCTTAGAGGGAAACTTCTGGGGCCGCACCATGGCAGCCATCTCCAGCTCAACAGACCCCAGCAGTTACGAAGGTTTTGGTCCCTACATGCCAGGCTTTGAGCTTGTCCCATACAACGACATTCCTGCACTGGAGGTACACGTTTAGATTCTGTCTTTACATTATCTATCAAGTTTGCTTTAACTTGTTTCAGTCATGAGACACAGTACTACTGACAGACTACGGACTGATATGACTGACTGAGTTTCATGCTGTCACTGGCAGTTAATGTGTAAAAAGGTTTCTTCATCTATAGTCCACACAGCCGTTAAAAGGCCAGAATTACAGGGGTAAGGTTAAGGTATGTTTCAGTCACTGCACACCAGGCATTAGGCTCTTTTACGGTCGAGTTGTTACGTACTGGGTTTGTAAAGAATCTCTGACAACAGAGGCAGCTTAAGTTTCATCATACTTGTGGTCAGTGTTCATGTGCTGGTGGGAGGATCCAACACACAGGATCTTGACGCCTGCTGCCAAATTGCATTGTCCTCACAATGTTTTTCCTGGCAAGACCTGAAAGACAAACAAAAAAACACAGCAGAGGTGAGGGAGGCTGCTGCTTAGGGTTTTTTTCCCAATGAAGGCAAAGATCTGCACTTTATTCAGCCCTGAGCTGTAGATCAATCTTATACTGACAACGTTACCATCTACTTAAGAGTACTGTACACGCACAGATTAACAAAGTTTGGTCACGTTAAATGAATCCATTTAGAAGTTACGCATTAACAGTTAACCAGCTTTTCTTTGGCTCATGACAAACTTTCCACAAAATCTTGTGCAAGGCTGTAACGCATTTAGATCCCCCACCTCTTCGCCAATTGGCATGAACACACACCCTCTCACACACACACACAAACACACACTTGACCTTCATGCCAAATTTAGCCTCCTAGTTTAAACACTGACACCAAAGGGTGGGTGAATTATTGTGGACCAACTGAGAGTAAGCTATGGGGCTGCAAGTTGCAGCTAAAAGGATCAAATAGATGCAGCAGAAAGATTTTTTGTTATGACTCCGTGCTGGCGATAGCTTTGGCCGGAGGCATTACGTTTTCAGGATGTGTGTCTGGCCGCCCAGCGCACAGAATCTTGAAGTCTGCTGCCAAATTGCATTGTATTCGTAATGCATTTCCTGGCAAGACCTGGGAGACAAACAAAAACTACAGCAGAGGTGAGGGAGGCTGCTGCGTAGGATTTTTTTTCTTCCAGTGAAGGCAGAGATTTGCACTTTATTCAGCCATTGTAGCCATTATTCAACGTCGTATCTCAGGGACAGAAGGGGAGACTCCATGTTTTCACAGACATGGGTGTAAACTGTAAAAGAAACTTGACTGGTGCACAGTCTTCAGCCCCAAGTGATGTCACTTTCGGCAAACTCCTTTTGTACACAGAGATTGCACTATAGGGCCGCTACAAAGTCCCTTCTTTGTGCCGCCTTTGCATTTTTACACAGAACCAAACAATGGGTTTTAGACGCCCCCATTGCCCCGAAAAAGGCGCATTCTGTATAAACAAAATTAGGTAGGCAGCATTTTGCTGCACTCCCCGATTTTGTTTTTATACTGCCAATGCTGAAATAAGACTGATTGGGCTTTCCTGCAAATTTGCACAATTCCTGTTTAAAAAGGGCTGATGTTTCAACTTCAGATGGGACACATATAAAACAGGGGAGGTTGGGGGTACTCCCAGAGGAAATTTTGAGCATCAAACACTCCCTGTATTCTGGTGAATTTTTCAAGTAGGTTGAACTGCAGCCAGAGCAGCCACGTGACATTTTCATCTTCTGTAATTCTTCTTTGAGTTAGCTTCTAACTGCAGTCAGCTACCTTTTTAAATCTCCTGTGGTGGGTGCCAGGCATAACACTTCATCAAAATGTCACACCTGTGACGCCCATGATCCCATGCTGCTGGCTGTCAAGTTTATAAAGACCTAATTTCGGCGCTATTACTACCTCTGATGCTGGCTTAAAGCAAGAAAACTTTGTCCGCCCATTCCAGGATTGTACCTTTTTATATAGAAAAATGAGGCGGCATACCAATGAAATTCCCACCTTGAAGAGGCAGCGTAAAAGTGGCTTTAAACAGAACAACTTTTTCTCATATTCAGTAGCACTTCCCAAGATCTGCAAACAAACTTTGATGTGTACAATCGATTCAGAAACAACATTTAGTTAATAAGATTCTCCATAACACCTGACTTGACGACCTCTTTGAGCAGGCAAACATGAGGACATAGTGGCTGACTACAGTTACATTTGTCTGCTGATAGTTTTATCTTGGCAACTGCTGTTTTTCTGTGTAAACATAAGAATCTACTGATTGACCAAAGTAGCATGTATCTTTTGGCAGACTCAGCTTGACAGATAAAAATGTCTGACTGAGTCTTTTTCTTTACTTCCCCAGAAAGCTCTCCAGGACCCAAATGTTGCTGCTTTCATGGTGGAGCCCATCCAGGGTGAGGCAGGGGTGGTGGTGCCAGACCAGGGCTACCTGACTAAAGTCAGAGAACTCTGCACCAAACACAATGTGAGTTTTGACAAACACACACGCAAAGCATGAATGATCATGTGTCATTAGTTATTCCTTAACTTACTGTATGCGCGACTGTTTTGACTGTGTGAAACATTCATCTTTAACTGATCTGCTGTCTGGTTTGTTAGTAAGAAGAGTACAGAGTATATTTGCCATCATCTCCTCTAAACAGTCTCTTCAGTGATTATGCCTGAGGCTTGTTCCATGCTGATTTGTTAATGGTGGAGACATGAATGTTGACATCAAATAGCTAGCAGGCATTCTTGTGTGATGAGTGAGTGTGCCAGTGCTTTTTTAGGCACTTGTAGGGATTAGAATGAGACATAACTGCATTTTAAACAGTCATCTCTTAACACCACAGTGTGTTGTGGCAACACTACTACAGTTTGAGAATCGTCAAGCTACTCTGTGGCATGTGGACGTACAGCGAACTAATTTAGAGATAACATTTTGCATGTTTTGTCATGCTGCCTGAAGGGCAAGTGCATACTTTATTCCTGTTTGCACAGCTTTTGGAGCTGTGTTTGGCCTAAAAAGGACATATTATAATGTTGCTGAGAAGTGCAAAAACATCACACACAAACACACAACAGCCAGCTGTTAAAGAGCGTCTTCTCCTGACTCCCAAATATAGTGAGGGCAAACTGCAGTCTGGGCTTCATTTTTAGATATCTGTATGTTTTCTTATTGGGTGCAAAGAGCAAACAAGCATCCTAGCTGATCTTTGAAGAGGGGTTAAAGTCAATTCAAGACAAGTGGAGAGCAGCAATGTTAAAGTTAGCCAGGGTAATAAGCAGTAATTGCAGTGTGTTTGTTGGCATGTTAAAGCTTGAAACCAGGCTGTTGAATTTATTAATATGGTCTTGTTTTATGGGTCCTGCAGCTGGCAAGATGAAAGGGTTACCACAGCATATATGGTGTGTGTGTGTGTGTGTGTGTGTGTGTGTGTGTGTGTGTGTGTGTGTGTGTGTGTGTGTGTGTGTGTCCATGTTTGCATGTTTTGGTGTGCCATAAGGCTGCAATTAACAACTATTTAGATTATCAATTGATCTGCTAATTTTTATTATTATTATTGTTATTTTTTTTTACAATTATTTGATTGATTGCTTACTCTATAAAATGTCAAAAAATTGTGAAAAATGCTCATCACTGTTTTCTAGTGCTTAAGGTGACATCTTCAAACTGTCCAAACTCCAAAGGCTCTTCATTTAGGATCATGAATGACAAAGAAAAGCAGCAAATTTAAGGAACGAGAACCAGAAAATGTGACATTTTGCATAAAAAATGACTGAAAACAATCAATTTACAAAATAGCTGCCAATTGATTTTCTTTCAATTGATTAATCGACTAATCGTTGCAGCTGTAGTGTGTGACGTGTGAGAGGGGATTATTAATGACTGTGGAAGCGCTTGTGATTTTTCCGGGCAATGTCGCACACTCAGTTTGTAATACTGCAAATGCAGGGGCTTTCATCTGTAGGCCATACGCTTAATCACTGTGTGTTACCTCATTTACTTCATTTTGATACAGGTAAATGTTATACAACAAAAGGAAAACATTCATGTTTGTTACAGATCCCAGCAAAAATCACCATTTTTATATTTTTTCAGTGAAAATAAAAAGCAAAAATGACCATTCCCACTAAAATCGCAAATCGTATCGCAATCGCCATATCTGTCAAAATAATCCCAATATTAATTTCTTTGCATATCTTTCTGCCCTTCTCAACAGACATTTACTTAAATGAGAATAAGCCACAGAAGACAGCTCAGGAGCTGTATTCACAAAGCTTCCTAGTGCAGAGAGTTGCTCCTGGTGCCAAAATTCTAAGAAAATTATTAGAATTTCCCCTTAAAGATAAGACTAGTAAGGATTAAAAGTTATTCACAGAGCATCTTAGACATTAAAAGAGCTCCTAAGGTGAAAACCTGTTAGGAGCAGGGAGGAGGTATTTTAAGAGGCTTAAGAGTTTCTTAATCAGAGGAGAAAATGGTGGAAACACAAAGAGGTCGGGGAAATATTCTCCCAACACTGGATGACAGTGAGTAAATGAAATGCTACAGATTAGATCATGCAGGGATAATATGTGTGGTTGATCTCATTAGGGATACTCCCAAACATTTCCCAATTAATGATCACAACACTAAGATATTTGGAGAACTGGAAAAATACAACAGCACAGCAGTGATGACTCGGGTCCGTCTCAACCTTCCATCAGCAGAGTGATCACATGAACACTGACAACACTTTTAGAGTCCGCAGTTAATTTCCACTGGGTGGCCACACCCTGTTGACTCACAAAGGGGTGTGTCTGTGACAACCAATCACATCTGTCAAAAGAAAGCATCAAGCCTAGCAATGTGGTCAACCATACCTCACTAAGATAAAGGTTTCTGTCTCTTCTTGCTCAGAGTCGCTCTGAGAACTTTCCTAAGTCACTCCTAAGTTAGGATCCTTACTAAAAAAAATTAGGCTAAGTTAGGAGCTCTGAGAGTGTTCTCAGAATGTTTGTGAATACAACCCTTGGCCAGTTCTGTCCAGTCCCCTGTGCTAACACTTAAGTATACACTGTTTTGAGTCATACAAATGTTAACAAAGGAGAAGATGACAATTTATAGCAGCTGTAAAACTTTACTGAGAGTCATAAAATGCAGCATGTGGCCAAGTCTGTTAAAGTATTCTGTGTAGGAGATTTACATTTTTTTTTTTTTTTTACAACTTTGTGTCACCCAGACTATCTTCACTGAGAGCAGCACACACTTTCAAATATGGTATAAAATTAGTGTACTTTTTTTTTGGGAATTCCATGGACTTATTTTCCTGTTAAAAGATCTCCTGAAGATCATTAAAATTCCTATATTTACACTGGGAAAAATAAAAGAAAGACACACAGTTTTTAACTTTGTACATCCCTGCACCATCCCTGAATGTGTAACACTGTCCAAAGACTCAAATAAAATTAAGCATGAATGATTTTGGGGAAAAAAGAGTAGGTTTTGATGAAATTTAGATTTTTCAGCCCTACCTAAAATGGATGAGAAAATCATGCAGCAACATCACTTCTATCTAATTTTAGATATATGAATCTACAGGTCACACAAAGAAACCTAGCACCGTGGTGATGACTGTCCTCTGTGTTCTGTCCAGGTGTTGTGGATTGCTGATGAGGTGCAGACAGGTTTGGCAAGAACCGGCCGACGTCTGGCTGTGGACCACGAGGAAGTCCGTCCAGATATCGTTGTTCTGGGCAAAGCTCTCTCTGGGGGAGTTTACCCTGTAAGCATTTTTGTTTTTCTTTGGTCACACTTCATATCACAGTATAGATTTGTTTTGAAAGACTTGATGGACTTTTGGAGTCCAGTTGTGTTGGATGTACTTTTGATCTGTGATTGTGTGCCTCAGGTATGTGCTGTGCTGTGTGACGATGAGATAATGCTGACAATCAAGCCTGGAGAACACGGGTCAACATATGGAGGTAACCCTGTGGCCTGTCAGGTCGCCATCGCTGCACTTCAGGTCAGTGTTACCTATAGTTTCCTTGTCTGTCCACCATTTTACCACTCGCCCTTTCATTTTGCCTGAGTTTTATATGATTAAATGGTGAAAACTTCCACTGTGATCTGCAACATACCATTAGGTTTAAATAATTATACAGTTACCTTCAAAAACAAGTTGGCATCAGAAGAAAAATATGCATGCCACTTTGATCAACGATGTCATTAAGCTCTCTCGTTCTTTTGTTTTAACTCTTTTTGTCCTGATTTTGCAGGTGCTGGAGGAGGAGAAGCTGGCAGAGAATGCTCAAAGGATGGGAGAGCTGCTGCGGAGCGAGCTGAATAAACTGCCCAAAGACATCGTGACAACAGTCAGAGGGAAAGGCCTCCTCAACGCAGTCATCATCAAAGAGACCAAAGGTACAGTGCTGAAATATTAATTAATTAATTAATTTATGATGTTATTTACTCATTTTTGGAGGCAGGATTGGTTCATTTACACTGAATTAGTGACAGGAACAATGTCTTCTAGGAGTCTAGACTACTGAGTCTTTGTGCTACTCATCTTTAGGACATACTGGTTCAAATTGAAGCTGGAGTGCGTGACTTTTGTCTCCCCCCTCTGGCAGTGAAAGTAATTACACAAGCACTGCCAACCCGTGCTTCCTGTAGGTGAGCTCGCCACATGCCGCCCACATGTGGCAAGCTCTCCTCAAGATTTTTATTTTAACTTTAATCCGACCTCAGAATGCTGAAGTTCTTTTTTATCTGGAGCATCCACTCCCGAAACCTTTCCTTAACACCTTATAGGATTTTCCACCATAGCTTCCACTTGTCGACACAAGTCAGTCGCCAAAGACACCAAACTCAGGTATACTGTGATATACAGAGAGCTTTCCCTGGTGGCCAAAGGCTAAATAAACACTGTAAACTTTGGCGAGGGCTTTACTGTAATAATGTTCATTTACCCACACTCCAGCTTCAACGAATTAAAAGTATTATATCAAGTATGTTGAAAAATGTCATGTATTGAGCTTTGGTTTGGATTTTTCCTTTTTAAGGCAGCTTGCCTTTCTACATATAGGACAAGATTCTTGGGAAGACAAATGAAGAGTAAAGCTCATTTTGCAACCAGGGTGCATAAAAAAGTTAAATTTAAAGACAATTTTAATACCACTTTATATGAAATTTAAGACCAAACCTGCAATGGAAATACATGAAATACACATTATATAGAAAAAGGAAACAAAATCTCATCGCTGTCGTAAATGCTATTTATTATTGCAATATTCAAAGATATACCGCAGGCCAAAAATGACTTTTTCTATGGTCTGTCCATTGATTGTTTTTGTTTTTTTTAAGATTATTTTTTCAGGCTTTTTGCCTTTAATGTACAGGATAGAGTAAAACGGGGTGAGAGAGAGTGGGGGGTGACATGCAGCAAATGGTTGCAAGCCGGAGTCGAACCTGCGACCGCTGCGGCGAGGCATTTCCATTGTACATAGAGCGCCAGCACTATCCACTGCGCTACTGACGCCCCCTGTCCATTGATTGTAAACAGTCATTGGGTCTGCCTGGTTGGAAACAATATTTCAGCCCCACTGAATCTGAATTTAAGACAATTTTAAGGCCTTATATTAAGAACTTAATTTAAGACATCTGAAGACTTCTTAAGGACCTGTAGACACCCTGTGCACCTTGCAGTCACTTATTCTGACATATATTTCAACGTTCCCCACAGACTACAACGCCTGGGAGGTGTGTTTACGCCTTCGTGACAACGGACTGCTGGCCAAGCCCACCCACGGTGACATCATCCGCCTGGCCCCTCCCCTCATCATCAAAGAGCACGAGCTGCGCGAGTGTGTCGACATCATCCAGAGAACCATCTTGTCCTTCTAAACTACAACCATCTCTTCAAGAATACGCACACAGCTTTCAAGCTCATAATCCAAACTGATCATCCTGTTGTTATTTTCACTTTTAAAGACAGTCTGAAAGGTATTACTGTAGAGACACAGTATACAGACGCTGTATGGAGAATGTTTCTGTGAGGCTACACTGACACTTACGTACAGGAATAATGCTGTAGAGGAAAAACGGTCTGTTAGGCTAAGCTTCACTGTCACTGAAGACGATTACCCCCCCCCCCCTTCAGGTGTCTAAAAAGTGCTCTGTCTGATCAGGCTGCCTCAGGAAAGACTTCAAGACAGGTGGAAACATCATCAGTTTATTTTAAATGTTTAACAGTTAATTCACATTTCTGCTGGTAACAAGTGATGTAAATAATCAGTGTGATTGTATCCAATGCATCATTTTAATTTTCTTACAGGAGAAGTAGTGTTACCAGATACTCATGCAGTCTAAAGGTTAGACTCAAGATTAATTAAAATTTTTCCTCAAAGGTAAACGATTAAGCTATCTTGTTACAATCTTGTTTGCGGTTTAGTTTGTTTACTAAACTGCTGTGTGCAAACAGAAACTCTGAACTGTTGCTGAAAGTCTTGTTACACAGAAGGTCATTTGGGTTTTTCTAATGCTAAGAGCAGCGTTTCAACACATTTATAAAATGCTGTGAAACATATAGTAAATTCAGACTTCTTTGAGTTGTTTAAATTTCTTTAACAATTATGATCTGTATCTGTGCATTGTTGTTATGGAATTTTCTGATGAATTTTTTATTTGTTACAAAACATGTAAATATTGTCTTTTCAAAGGCAATATCCCCTTTTAAGTTGCTGTATTATCCACTGATCTCAAAATAAATTATTGCAGTCGTACTTCCTGTTTTGCTCTTTTTAAGTGAAGTTTATATCTACGGCGCCTTTCTTTCACATATATAAAGTGCTTAACATCAAAAACAAATAATCAAAGAGATAGATGGAAACAACAGCAGCATTGGGCTGATGAGATAAAAACAGCAGCAGCAAATAAGTAAGGATGGAGACAAACAAAAACAGGTCATTAGCTATTGGCAGAGGTGGGACCAAGTCACTTGTGCCATGTCTCAAATCGCACACTTCTGTACTTACACATAAGTGCGTTCACACTGAGAAGTATGAAAAAATGCAGTGCACTGTGAGTACCCGGATGGGTGCACTCAAAACAGTCAAGAAGTTGAGTGTGGAACTATGGACACTTCTCGCTGTCAATGGTCGCCATCTTGGCTACATAGCAGAAGGGGAGGGACCACTTTTCAAATTGGAAATGGCGGCCGATGATTGTGCGACTGTGGACGTCGTTGCATTGTACAAATACATGTGTTTTTTGCACTAAGCACCACTATACTGTTGTCAGGTATAAGCCAGCAGTATGTTCATTGGGTTAATTTAGCAGTCTGTAATGATTTGGTACTGTGAATGCTAATGCTAGTTTGCTAACTAGCTAAGTTGCGGTTGTCATTTCCGTTGAGTGCACAACGGCCGTGTTTGGTTTGAGACAACACTACCCTGTCGAAATTCGTGCATGACGCCAATAAGTACATAGTGCACAAAGTATACTACATGGAAGTGTACTAACGGAAGTATGTGATTTGAGACACATGCTGCGTTCGTTTTGTACTCAGAGGTCGGAAGTCGGAATGGGGAACGATGTCACCTCCGAGCTGATAACAGTTTTTGCATTCTAGTTGACAACGGTGGACAAGTCGGAAAAAAACATGAACGCCGCAGATGAGGCTGACCTAATGTAAAACAAATAAGATAAAATTGCTATAAACAGTACTTTAGCAGAGTGTTTACTCACTATGTATGTGACCGGCAGCCATCTTGAATTTGTAAGTCGGGGTTGATGCGGTTGCTCCGAGTTTCAGAGTTGGAAATCTGATCTCAGGGTGCATTCGAGTTTAAAACTTCTGACTGGGAACTGGGAATTTCCGACCTCCGAGTACAAAACGCACCAACAGCATTGGTAATTCTCAAAGACAAGGATCCTTCCTTGGTAGGACAAATCCTTCCAAGGAAGGATCCTTCAGAGGCAAGGCAAGAGTCCTTCCTAGCATTCGATGAACACACGTTGGAACAAGCTAACGAGTGTCCCCGGGTGTACGTCATTAACCCTCAGCGGACGGAGGGGGTTTCAGGGTACTGTGGTAATTTTGGCACCCTCTAATGTTGTTGTACAATTTCAACAAATTACGTGACTTTTAGGGAGACTATATTTCTGGGTTATACTTAAAAAACAAACAAACCGGTATGCTAAATGAAACTTTTGTGGCATTAAGCACTCCATTACTGCTGTCAATGATTAATTCAAAAACTTCTATGTTTTATCTAAATCACGGTATTTTAAAAAAATCCAAATAAATGACATATTTATCTAAATCCTGCCGAGCTCGGCTGGCACAGGTTTCATGAAGAGACCCTGTCTTAACTTACAGCAAATCATGCGCAAAGAATTGTGGATACTTTATGCATCATAAAAGTTCATCTGTGTGTGTTGCCTTCAACTGCTTTAAAATCGCAAAGATAAGATGTGCACTCTTTCATTAGCAAAAGTATCCCAGCTTTAATAGTGAATATATTTACAATTCACTGTTACAGTGAACTGTGAGGGCAAAAACAAAATAATTGTTCATAATTATAATAGAGGTAAAATGTTCAGTTGATCGTGATATTGATTTGTGGTCAAATCGCCCAGCCCTTTGCTGCACCCCTGATTAAGTGTGAGAGCAATGTTGGTTCTCTTTTAGCATTGATTTAATACCTCTATTATAAACATTAACAATTGTGTTGGATTCAATTCAGCAGACAGTTCCAGAAGTTTGCTCCTTCAGTGGAGAAGAATGAGTGTTCAAATTAGGTTTTGCGTGATGAAATGTGACAGTTACTGTTTGTTAAGGCCTGTGTGAATGAAGGTATGTGACCATATAAGCATCAGCATGGCTGTGGTCTTTGACATTATTATTTACAAAGCATACACTTAATTTCTTGTGTCACGCTGTCAAACACTGCATATACTGAAGTGTTCCCTTTAATCCATTACTGTGCAATGGTCCAAGCTGTAACACTAGATGGTGCTGTGCCTTCACTGAAATGAAACGAAGGCCTAGTGAGCACTCAAAGTAGTCACGCATACCAACAATTATTAAGCAGGTGTTAAACGCACAGCTTAAAGTAGCACAAAGTAACACAGATTAAGATACTAAAGCTTCACTGCAGATACAATTCAATCAATACACAGTCCCAACATAGCACTGTTAAACCTACAAGACACAACCTGGATGATCCGTCTTTGTGCCTGTCACACACTGCTCTCTAGCAGCAGTACACAGGGACTTCAGCTGACAAAGATTTGACATATTTGACACTTGTCATTCCCAGAAGACGAACTGCTCTGAAGTGGATGTTGTGGCAACAACCTCAAGCTAGCTGATGGAGACAGTCAAAGGCTTTCTTCCCCCCTGAGTGCTGACCTTCAGGCAGCAGAAATCCTGCCGCACAGACTGCATCCACTTATAATTTCTCTTCACAACAATAATGTAAACAGCAGCGGTAGTAGAATTAATATTGCAGTGCAGATCTGATAGATGGCATCAGATGATTTTATCTCTAATACATACATATATATATATATATATATATGTATGTTGGTACAAATAAAGTGTGACCTTTCTGCAGGTTGAACTGAAAGTCTGATAAATAAAAGAAAGTCTGTATTTGCTGCTTATTGAAAACCAGGAGAGCTGTCTGGAAACCAACAGACTGCAGATACTTAACAGATGTATAAGAAAACATATTGCGAGCTATCAAGGATCAATGAAATCCACTCTAATTAGTTAAATGCTTTGCACTTTTAATGACAAACTCCTGGGCCAACTTCTCTTTAAAGGCTTTCTGTTGAGTGCTTTCTCTGGCACTTTTATTAATCCAGGGAAGGCTCAAATTATTTACACTTACTAGCTTTTTTCCAGCGCTTTCAACCACATCTCATGGTCTTCCTCACTGGATGGAAATCATCTATTATTGTGCGACTTGTGGATCTAATGTTATTACTGGATTAAATGGTAATAGTTATCAGCCTCATAAATACAAGGGAAGGGGGTTTTATACTTGTGTGGCAGAAGCTACCCACATGGCCTACGCCGTCGTGACCATTTATACTTGTACGGTGGTGTGTCTGTGTCGCTCTGCAGTTACACTGCCAAAACACTAGACGGCGGCGGAAGTTTCTGCGAAGTGCTGTAAAGTTTAGTTTATTCAAAACACACATTAAACACACATTAAACATGGCTTAATAGCAACAATTTCAAACACAAGTACACAAATCTGCTTCACTATAACTCGCAGCATTCACAGACAAACACTTGTCTTTATCTGGACACATTTTCCCCACAAATACAACATGCTAATGATTTTAGCACAAGCCTATGTCATTTTACATTTTATAAATTAGCCTAGCGGCTAGTGTACTTTTTTCTCGACTCATATAAAGCCAGGGACAACAGCAACATTTAACAAAGGTAACATTACAAAGTTTGGCTCCATAACAACTCACAAGGTTCACTGACAAAACAAATGTCTTATACTAAACACGTTTTCCAAACAAATACAACATGCTAACATTATTAGCACAAGTCTATGGAATTTTACTTTGTATAAATTAGCCTAGTGATGAGCAGAGATTTCCTCTGCTCATATGAAGCCAGGTTAAATCACAAACAAGACTTAAAATGCTATTTTTGTGGAGGCTTTATTGTCATATTGACGTAATGCTCTGCATACAGAAGTAGTTGAGATGGTGGATGGATTAAACAAACACAGGACTTTCATCCAGGAGAGTGCGGTTTGTGTCCTGTGTGCAGGGTTTTACGCAAGTAAGTGCATGCAATGTCCAGCTGGGTGAGAATAGTAGCCACATTGAGTGCATGGAGTATAGCTTTTGTTTGGGCTATTTAGTTGAATGGGGAAGAAACTACTACTTCTTGTGCTTAACGCCCATGTACGTGTATTCGTTTATATGTGTGATCAAAGATTGTGGCCTGCATAGTCATTGTTCACAGGCTTGCTTCAGTTTCAGCCATTGCTTTACATGTGTGTTAAAAATCTTGAGTTGCATTCCACAGGTGAATCTCTCTCACTGAAGAGGATGATTAACCAAATGTTTTTCTGTGTTTTGCTGCTCTACAGTTTCCACTTGTTACACCCTTCGTTCTGATTCCACTATGTTGTTTGTTTACCAGTTGACAGAGTATTGCTGGTGCAAGGTTGTTCACACACTTAAAAATTAATTTTAAAAATGAAAACTGTCAAAACTTAACATATTGTATTGCCGTAGAATTAGGCAGTGGTACCATCAAGCAGGTTTCTGATTCATTGCTTTCAGTGTCTGTTTATGTAAAAGACAACCGTGGTTTTTATTCCCAGTTCTCATCACACAGGTGTGTCATGTTATTCTGCTTGTTTTTAGGCTAGAATTCTTTCTGTGTTCATCGTTCACAAGGATTAACTGGAAGTTGAATTATCTGCAGAGGTCTCCGCCTCTCCAAAACAAATGGATTCAGTGATTAAAATCAGTAAAAAACACTAAACTAAATAAAGCAGTTTCACAATAAAAATCAGTGTCTCTCTGGCGCTCATGTTGAAACGGAGTCAGGGGAGAATGCAAGCTGAGCTGCCACTATTACCCTGCATGTGACACCACAAGTTAGTCAGTACGTTTACATGCACGGTTAAGTCGAGTCATGGTTATAGCTTGACTAGGCCATTTCATAGGACCCCTGTCCTTCTCCCAGTATACAAACACAGGAGGGGAATTGATTTATTTACTGACGTATATTCGA